TTACATATTCTGTTGTCAGTTAGTTGTAAGTAACTTACATTTGTTATTCGTTTATTCATCTATTTATTACTTTGTTCTCAGTTTTTTCTTCAAAAATGTTTGGAACTTCATCTTCCATCCTTAGATCACCGACGTCAATGATGAACCCCCTCGCTTTGATGAAAACTTCTACATCGTGAGCGTGGACGCTAGCCACCTGACTGTCGGGCAAATCATAGCCAGAGTGGAGGTTACGGTATGTTTACTGTACCACTAGTCCAGCCAATGTGGAAGTAACCTCCTGCTTTCAGGACAAAGACCTTCCACCCTTCAACGCCACTCGATTATTTATCAGCCGTGGTAATGACGATGGCCTATTCAAGATAGATGAATCTGGAAAAGTCTCGATAGCTCGTCTGAATCAACACCTCATTCGAGAAAATTACAATCTGACGCTGCTGGCCTTCGATGGCACTCATGCGACTACAGCCCTGATGATGATTACACTACATTCTGGAGCCTCATCGACTGCTTTTGAGTGTGATCCGGAGAAGAGCATTGAGATCAAAGTCAGCGAGGATATACAGAAGGGCACTGAAGTCTATCATGAAGAAACTCGTATGGGTGTGGGTGGATCTCGATATTTGCTGGTGTCTTCGGAAGTTCTGCCATTTGCCGTGGATCAAGAGACTGGCTCTATCACTGTGCAAGGAGGACTGGATGCAGAGACGAGAAAGAAGGTTTGGGATTCTCATAGTTTCAAAAAATGTAGAAAATTAGTTCGAGTTGAACAGAATGCTCGTTCGAAACATCAAAAATTCATTATTTTCTGCCTTCCCTTCATAGATACCAGGTCCACGAAAACCTGAGCAGTTAGGCTTCTTATATGGAAATATTGGGAGTCTAGCATCAAATGCCAGCACGCATGATTCATGCGTGGCTAAAAAATTCAGTTTTCAGCTTTCGCCCAGTACCGTACTCCTGGGCGGTTTGGCACCCTCGATTACAGTGCTAGGAGAAAGTTTATATCGAAATCTCGCGGTTAGAATTCAATCATATGAGCTGCCACTTCGATCAATAAGAATTTTAGATTCTAAGATTGACTTATACTACCTTTGCGCCGTTTTCCAAAATATTTTTCTTTACCTCTTGCTTTTTTCTTTTAGAG